CCAGCCAGTTAGCTCTACTCTTTTGTTTCCAGAAGATTTCTTCTTCTCTGAAAGCATCACAAAGCTTGTACTTGAGTTGCAAGATATCTTCAGGCTCACGATCCTCGTCTAATTGAGCTTCGTCTAGCTCTTTTGTCAGCTTTTCAATAAGCTGAGCTGAATTGGAGTTTGCAGCATCGGTCTTCCTCCAATTTGAGATCGCTCGTCTACAGGATTGGATCTTTTTAACCAGGTCAGGCTCATTTGGAATTGGGACTCCCCATCCTAATTGGATGGCTTCTTCGAGCCCCTCCTTTCCCAGCCATCTCTTATCGAATTGAAAGCGCCTACTCAGCTTCTTCTCTTTCGATAAAATATTTGCCAGGATGGGGCGATGATCAGAACCCCAAAGACGTAAATACTCCACATTAGTGTGGGAAAAGATGGTGTGCCAATCTTCGTTACCAAGGGCTCTGTCAAGTCTGCATTTGATTAGACCATTCCGCCTTCTTCCTACCCAAGAAAACGAGTTGCCCTTAAACGGGAAATCGATCAAACCACAGTTGTGAATCATAGTTCTAAAGGGTAGAAAAGAGTTTTCTGATCTCTTCTTGCCCCCTTGTTTCTCATGATGGCCTGTTAACTCGTTAAAATCCCCAATCAAGAACCAAGGACCCTCTCGTACCACACCAATACGGGTAAGTCGTTCCCAAACAATTTCTCGGCACTTAACGACCGGATCTCCATAAACAAAAGACAAAAACACTTTGTTTCCATCAATAACAGTTTCTACATCAATCAAGCGATCATTAGAAGAGATAATAGTAGTAGGATAGTCATTAGAATAGAATAAAGCCAAACCTCCACTACACCCATCGGGTTCGACTGTAAAAAGATTATCATATCCTAATTCAAATTGTCTTTCTTCTAACTCGACTCGTACATTTTTAGTTTCAGAAAGGAACAAAAAACCTGGGAGGAATTTTCTGCGCATCTCCCTTAGCCTCTGAATTGCCAAGTATGTTCCAACTCCTTGACAATTCCAGGCGAGAATCCTCATATCTTCTTACTGGGTGGGTTCTGGGACCCCACCAAACCTGATCGAGACTTGGACTTCTTGTTAATTGCTGATGGAAACACCCCAGAGCGGGGGAGAGAAGAAGATGGTTTCCCATTCCGAGAACGAGCTGTCTGACTTTTCGCTTCAGCTCTCTTCTTCGGAGAGCCCGCATTAAGGATATTCATTTTCTTAGAAGCCATACCTAGCAGCTCGGTGGGGCCTTTATTCGTTTGAGACTTCGCTTCTGCTCGTCTTCTGCGGTGAGAAGCTTTTGACCCTGAAGCCTTTGGGTATTCAATTCGTTCCTTCGCAGGTCTGCGAGTGGGAGAAGGTGCAGCTTTGCTGTTAAGTGATAAAGAGGAGGGTGAGAGAGGTTGCTTCCTGCGGGATACTGGCTGGATCTGTTCTGAAACTGTGTGCTCCCCACTAACTTGCGCATCCTCCTCCTGCAGATTGTCTTCTAGCAGATCATCATTGTCTAATTCCTCCTGTTGCATAAGCAGCTTATCCTCATCATTGTCCTCCTTATCAGGGGACTTTTCAGCTGTTTCCATTAAATCTGTATTGATTTGCTTAGCCTCAAACTCTTCCCATTCTTTTAGTTGTAGCTCTTCCTCTTCCGTTAACGGAGCTAGGTCCTCTTGAGAGTGATCTTTTTCCTTCATGGCCGAAGTGAGATCCTTAGTAGAAGTAAGGACTGTCTTTGCCTTAGGTGTTTTTTCTTCTTCCATAGGAGCTACAAAGCCAGCAGCTCTCTCTATTGCATTAGCAGTCCCTGAGCGACTTGACTCTTTCTCCTTATAGTACACTCTTCCAATGTCCATTTTTCGGTGAAGATCGGAGGCAGTAATCGTTCTCGAACCGTCTTCAGCTGGCAGCCCTTCTTTACCTTTAACCCTTGGGGAGGGCTGTCTAAAAGGTTCTCTCCTAGGAGACTTGTCATACCTGGAACCTTCTCTATACCCTTCTCTCTTGTATTGATCGGAGAGCCTTTTTCTGTCCAGAGTATGCCGTGCATCCCTAGTATCCTCAGAAGTTACCCGTTGAACCTTTCGATCTCTATAATCCCCCTTCTGTTGACGGCCTGACTTTGGGACCCAGGTGCTAGTAGCCACAGATTCATCGTGTCTCCTTTTCCTGTAATCAGAATGGTAAGAATTAAAGTTCTCCCGATTTCGGGGATAGTGGTAATTATGATTTGCCTCTAAACGTTGCCACACAGGCTTGTGTTCTCTCTCTTGCGTATAGAAGCTTGGAGATTGACGAGAAGGGCGCCTGTCTACCATTTGATCCCGGTGATACTCCTTTTTGTAGTTTTCAGTCCTGGTCAAGCGAGTAGATCTTTCACTGTCATCAGTCCTCCTAGAATCCCAGTGATGACCATTTTTAAGGGGTTGATCATTGTATCTCTCTTCTTTGCGAGAATCCACCTTGCCTTCCTTTGGATGAGATTTGTCTCTTCGTAGATCCTCTCGAAGAAACTGGTCAGAGTTAGAGGAGTGAAAAATTTTGGTTGCTGCTTGTGGAACTCGAAAGAGCTCCTCTTCTTCAGCTTCTTTCCGTGCTAATTCAGCCCTTTCTATCCTAAGCCTGAGTCTGTCCTCTTCAGTAAGGTTTGGGCAACTTCTCTCTTCATGAGTAATCAGCTTACAAGTGAAGCAGTAACGGTGAAGTTTTTCATATTTGAAAGTAACCAAGTGTTCCTCGCCGGATGAACTAATAGCTTTCTTTTCAAATCTTAAAGGCCGTGTGACATCCACAGAAACTTGAATTTTCCCTGTCTTTTCATCCACACTAACTACCTCACCCAGTGATTTACCCATACTCTTCAGCGGGCCTTCGGACCAAAATTCTCTCGGGAGACCTTTTGTCTGAACCCAGAAAGTGATGCAATTCGGGAAATCGCTGCTGGCGTTCGGCTTCCATCTTTCAAGAGCGAGACTCCACCTATTGATATGACAAGGACGCTTGTTGAGGACTCGTTGCAGATCTCCTTCATTGTCGAAATCAAACTGGAAACGCCCATTCCCTAAGTCAAAGCCCTTCACTCTTCCCTCCACATCCCAAATGTGAGACTTTGGCATGACAGCCAAGAGTAGTTCAGTACTCCGACCTTCAGCATTGAAAGTTCTTCCAATTAAAGTCAGCTTGAATCTCTCCAACAAATGGGAATTGTCCACCGGAGGCAAAATAATGGGGTCATCATCTTCCGCCAAAGAAGGCAGAGCCTTGGAAGAAACACCAGACTTAGAACGGTACGAAGAATTCATCATGTGTGGTTGTAAGAACTCGTAAGGAAGCTGGAATAACAGGGGACTAGTCTTCTAATAACCTTAGAACCACAGAAATCGTGAACTGTATTAGAATAGCGTTGAAAACAATCGAACTCCGGCCGTAACCCTTTGACAACACAATAGCAGAGGAGACCCGAGAACCACCGTTGCAGAGAGAAGGGTTGTAGATCCGGTTCTCCACACAAAACCCCGAGATACGAAACTGAAACAAACCGCCGAGAAGCGAAACTGAAGCAAATCGCCGAGACTGGGAAGAAGATGGCCGGAATCTGAGAGCAGTTCCGACGCAAGCGATCTCTCCGGAGAAGGAGACGGATCGAGGTCAGAAACTGAGAACAGAAAAACGAAGTCTTCAAAACGGACCAGACACAAAGCTAAACTCTCTCGAGTGTCGAGGATTGAAAAACTCCGGCGAATCAAAGCTGGGAAACGCCTGGGCTGCTCAGATCTGTGAACTCGCTAGAGGGGACGCTCTCCATGCGGCTAGGGTTACTCAATCTAGTTTAACTCCGTTATATTAATACCATTAACATGTGGGATACGGAAACATTTCTATAAAACGCAAAATTAAATAAATAATAACGGTTATTATTTTAAGGGAGACCACAAAAATGCCCCCTTTTCAATACCCCTTTTCAAAAATGCCCTTTTTGGATGTCCATTTTTAAAAATACCCCTTTTTATGTATAAAATGACTAAATTACCCTTCTTTTAATAAAAGATATCATAAATATATAAGGAAATATAACAAAATTAGGTCCACAAAATACAAAATATTTTTCGGCGGGAAAAGTGATCCCCCAATTTTTCCCGCCAAAACGCTTGTAAAAATTTGTAAAACCTTTAAAATACCTTGTAAAATTTTCTCGTAAAATTTTTTCCCGCCAAAAAATTTTTTTGCGGGAAAAGTGATTCCGCAAATTTTTTGGCGTTAAATTTTTGGCGGGAAAATTTTTGGCGGGAAAAATTTACAAGGTACTTTAAAGGGTTTTTACAGGGTATTTATAAGGTTTTACAATGTATTTTAAAAGGTTTTACAACGTATTTATAAAGTATTTATAAGATATTATAAGATTTTACAAGCTATTTTATAAGGTTTTACAAGTTATAAGGTTTTACAAGTTTTTTATAAGGTTTTACAAGTTATAAATACCTTATAAAACCTTATAAGTACCTTGTAAAACCTTTTAAAATACATTGTAAAACCTTACAAAACACTTGTAAATACTCCATAAAACCTTTAAAATACCTTGTAAATTTTTCCCGCCAAAAATTTTCCCGCCAAAAAAATTTCGGCAAAAAAATTGCGGAATCACTTTTCCCGCAAAAAAAAATTTTTGGCGGGAAAATTTTACAAGGTATTTTAAAGGTTTTTACAAGTGTTTTGGCGAGAAAATTGCGGGATCACTTTTCCCGCCAAAAAATATTTTGTATTTTGTGGACCTAATTTTGTTTCAAATAAGGGTAAAATGGTCATTAAAAATTAAAAGAGGGCAAACTTAAAAATGGACTCTCAAAAGGGGCATTTTTTGAAAAGGGGTATTGAAAAAGGGGCATTTTTAACAATTTCTCTTTTTTTAATCCGGTTTAACTGTTATGTACACTAGAATTTAGTGATTTTATATTTAAATTAAATTTATTAATGATAAACCCAATCACGTCGAAGTTTAAATGATATTAAATATTTTAATTAATCAATTTTTATCATTAAGTTTAACAATAAAAGTTTGTACGTATATCGATAATGAAGGAAACTCGGTTTTGTTTTCATTTTTTTTTATCATTAGTCTTTCGGTATTGGTTTTACTTAACCGAACCGAAGTAAAAACCAAAATAAAAATAAATAAAAAAAAGAAAAACTCTTTAGGGATTGCTGACACAGTGAATGACGAAAGTTTGACCATGTAAAATTGTTACCAAATTAAAATGGTTACAAACTTTGCTATATAAGAACACTATATTCCTCCTATGCAATACACACCCCCTCTATCTTTTTCTTTCGTTTCCGGCTATCTTCTTCTGAAGAAAAAGGTTTCTCCTCTTACATCTATAAATTATGTCGTTATTTCATTAATATACCAATCATTTGATTCTAAATCTCACAAAATTATCACTTTTACACTAGATTCGGTTTCTTGACATCTTAGAGGTTTGTCAAAAATGAGTGATTTTGATGGAAACTTCATAGAAATGACGTCGTATTGGGCTCCACCGTCCAGCCCTAGCCCAAGAACGATATTGGCGATGCTGGAGCAAACCGACAATGGTATGAATCCGATAAGTGAGATCTTCCCTCAAACCAACATACCAAGAGATCATGATACTGATCAGTCCGGACAAAGATCTGGTCTCCGTGAGAGATTAGCTGCAAGAATAGGATTCAGTCTTCCAACACTCGATACAGAAAACATGAGTCCTTTGGATGCATTTTTCAGGAGCTCGACTGTTCCCAATTCTCCTGTCGTTGCAATCTCTCCAGGATTTAGCCCATCAGCACTATTGCAATCTCCCAATACGGTCAGTGATTCTTCACAGGTAAGTATTAATGTCTTTTTTTGTTTTATGATTGTTTTAACTTATAATACATATATAGTTTATATGATAAACAGTAAAAATCTATCTGTTATTGAACCAATATTTGGGAATATGAGTACGTATGTTATTATAATTCTATTTCGTGTAACATACTATATAAAAAGTAATATTGCTGTCAAAAAGAAAAAAAAAAAAAAAAAAGGTAAGTATCTATCGGTAAACACAGAATCTATTATTTCCTTTTTGTTGAAGTTTGATATTTTTCATACCTATTTGCGTTTACTACTTACAAATGTTTGTCCCGGACTAATTTATTTTGTTTGTGAATAAATTTTGATGCCCTGTAATTTTTTTTTTTCAAATGTCTTTTTTTTAATCTACGTTTACATTTACATAAAATTACGTTTGAAGCCATCGGGATCTTTAGCCTCAATTCTAGAACCCTAACTACAATAGTCTTTGGTACCTTCTTGTTCCAGATTATCCCTCCGTCTCCAGCCACCAATTACGGACCTCCGGAGATGGTGGAAACTTCCGGTGAAGACAATGCAATGACGATGGTATTCAACAATGATCTTCCTTATCAGCCGTACAATGTTGATCTGCCTCCTCTAGAAGGTAATTGATTTACTTGTGTCTCAAGTTTGCTTCCATTCTCAATTTTCCGAATCTTTTTGTCAGATTTTTCGTACTTGTGAAACAGTCTTTGATGATATTCCAACGGAAGAGTCCTTTTATATCCCATCTTATGAACCTGATGTTGACCCAATTGGAACTCCTTTAGTCGCTTCCTTTGAATCTGAACTCAGTGACGTTGACCCAATTGGAACTCCTTTAGTCGCTTCCTTTGAATCTGAACTCGGTGACGATGCCCATATCGACATCATTTCCATTGAAGACAGTGAGAGCGAAAATGAAAACAAAGATGAAGACGACGAGGACTACCAATTCGATTACGAAGACGAAGACCAAGGCCAAGACCAAGATGTATATCTAGATGAAGAGGAAGAGGAAGATGAAGACAATGTTGCATTAGATGATGCTCAACCTTCGTCTCGAAAGAGAAGGTCCCAACAAAACTTATAACATCATAATCAATAAAACTTTAACAAAATCTTATTTAAGTTAACCACTACATATATAAACTCTTGCAGGAGATTTGATCAGGCATCAAACAATATTGGAGCCACAAGAACAAGCAAGACACAAAGGGTCATACTTCAAATGGAAACCGACGAAGACAATCCTAATGATGGTTATCGCTGGAGAAAATACGGTCAGAAAGTCGTCAAAGGAAATCCTAATCCGAGGTTGTTATATATCTCACCATGTTCTTTGTCTCTTTTCCCTAACCGATTTAATCATCTTAGACATTAATATGTTTTTTATATGTTAATGTGCAGGAGTTACTACAAATGCACAAACAATGAATGCAAAGTGAAGAAACATGTGGAGAGAGGAGCAGACAACAATAAGTTAGTTGTGACTACATACGATGGGATACACAACCATCCTTCACCACCTGCACGTAGAAGCAATACCGGTTCAAGGAATCGGTCTGCAGGTACAACAATGTCTCAAAATCAGGTAGATCAAACCAGTCGGTTAGCTAGGGCTCCTCCTCCTTCGTCTCGCACACCTGTGGAGATGAGGCCTTTCTCTTCGATGGCTCCACAAGTTGATCTGACACAGGTTTATACGACCGGAATCTCTAAGCTGCCGAATGTACCAGTTTACCAGAATCCGGGTTTTATGTACCGGACTGATGAACCGATGATGAATGTGATGCCGGATGGTGCAGATGTGTACGGTGGGATCATGCATCGCCTATTTGTAAAGTTTGGTGTCGACATTTAGATTGTGACCCGTTTTTCTTTTTTCTCTTTTAATCCTTATCGTCGATGATATACAACAACTTGTATTCATCACTCATCAGCTTAATTATAAATTTTAAATAAAATATTTCGTTTCAAGTTTTTTCACTCATTTAATTTCTAAACAGTTAGAGATGTTTAATCTAGAAAATGGAACCAATTTAATCTAATTTAAATAGAAATTTGATTTTCTAATCCAAACTAAATTCAAGCAAAACAGGGAAAAAAAATTATGACGACTATGATTTTTGGATGTAAATACTGTGATTGTTAAAAACATTTGGTGTAAATACTTTGACTATAGAAAGTTTAAGACGGATTAGTAAAGATTATGGCCGAAGAAATTTTGACAATAAATAATATAAACTATACCGAATTTAAACTCGGACGATGACATAAAAATTCGCACAAATTAAGCTTCTCTTTAGTTAAATTTAATAAGACTCAAATAATTGTCACAACATATAATTGTTCCATATATTAATAATTAGATATTTCTTAAAATTATAATTTTAAAGCCATGTTTATTGATCTTCAGTGAATCTATGTATGGGTATTGCATGTTTATCATATTTTTTCATAATAACATCAAATTCAATCTTTGTTTTTTCTATTTTATGTGGAGAGAAAAGCAGATCTTATGAAGGAACAGAAAAAATCAATTGACAATAAGTTGCAATTTCTTTGTCAATTAATTAACCAATTAATTTCACGAGAAGTTTTAGACATTTGGGGAAGAAGAAAGCAAAAAAAAAAAAAACCTCTTTTATTTTTAAAGAATTACCTGCTTTCAGCAAAAATAAATCCAATATCTTATTTCACGGGAAGCAAATGCTTTGTAATGTTATAAAAATATTACTATCCAAAATTTGTCATAAAATTATATAATATTCAGTGTAATATTGTGTTAATCAAATTATAGAGAATACTAGAGTCTGAATAAATCACAAGTGACAGGTTATCCTTTGAGAAATATAAACACGTTCAATTTCCTCTCGAGTTGGTGTTGCAATTGTCGCTATGTTTCATGTTATCGAGAGACTATAGCTGCGATCGTCGTAGCGTAAAGCTATTTATGTTCTTGCGTCAATAGCATATTTTTTATTCTTTTCAATATTTATGAATTATGAGAAATGATACGTTATTAACAATATTTTCCTTGTTTATCCTAAGTTATCGGTATCATTTTAGTTTAAAATAATAATAAAAAAATTATCAAAAAGTTATTAGACCATTAAAAAAACAACAACTATGGATCCATCATCACACACATTTGTTAGAACCTCCTCTAGTTCAGAGCAAGATCCGGAAAGAAAAAAAAAATGAAGAAAGAGTTTTGGTTTTAAAGTGACGAGTAAGAGAGTATATCTTTGCGTCAGAGAATCAACAAAAACATAAAAGAAAAACGAAATCAGCAGTCAATGTAATCAAACAACAAACATTACAATCAAGAAAACAAAAAAAAGAAATCATTGAAAGAACATATATACACACGTTCGTAACATGCATCAAACAAAATCTCTATAACGTCATCACGGTATCGCTTTGTCTACATTTGGGAAAAAAACAATGGCGACACTACTTTTTCCAAAATTGTAGACAAAGAGGCACAGAGATGACGAGTTACTATTCTTCTGAAGCCCTAAACTCTGCAGATGAACAAGTAAGTATCTGTGTGTATTTATTTATTTATAGGAGGCTTCTCTAGGGTTACAACAATCTGAAACCCTGGCTAGAAGAATCTTAAGTGAAGTCGCCGCTAGAGTGTTGACGAAATTTGCAAAACATGGGCTAAGCCCTACTTCTTTTAAAAGCCCAATACATCTGAACCGAAATTCGAATAGACCGGTTTATACCAGGTCGTCTATGCTTTGAATTTAAACCGACCCGAAGAAGTCGGTAAGAATATGACTGACTAATCAATCCTGCGTCCAAACAATAATAAATCGTGTCAACGGCTCAAAAGGGGAAGAAGGAAGCATTGGAGATTCTGGGAATTCTGGGGAATTGAGAATTCAGCCATGGAGGAAGTGACGAGATCTGTGTTAGCGGAGGAGATACTAAAGCGTTTAGATCTGGAGAATCTCTGTTCCGTCGCCTGCGTTTCCACCACTCTCCGCTCCGCCGTTGTCTCCGGCGTTCTACCTTCTCTTACCTCTCTCGATCTCTCTGTGAGTTTCCGATTCTCTGCAATTCGGATATTTTTGTTTTATCTGGAAATTTATCGAATTTTCGTTTCTCTTAGATTTTCTCTCCGGACGATGAAACTCTGAATCACGTGTTGCGTGGTTGTATCGGACTTCGTAGCTTAACTCTGAATTGTCTCCGCCTTAACGCTGCTTCTGTGCGTGAGGTTCTCGGTCCACATCTCCGGGAACTTCACTTGCTCAGGTGTTCGCTTTTATCCTCCACCGTCCTCACTTCCATCGGCATCCTCTGCCCAAATCTCCGGTATTTAACTTTTTGATAGGTGCCTCTCGTGCTTTTGGTTATGAAAAAGGGGAAATTTGATGAAAAGTCGCATTTTTTTAGTGAAATATACTAATTGAATCGAATCCTCTGTCTTTCATTGAAAGCAAGCCTTTACTTATTGGGATCATTTGATGTGGCTTTTGTCAATCATATTCTTTTCTTGATCTCAACTTTTTAGTGTGTATTGCATATGATAAGTGAGTAATTAGGAGTTTTTTTTGGTTCAATTACAGGGTTCTTTCCCTGGAAATGGCAGACCTGGATTCTCCCGCTGTTTTTCAGTCTAACTTGACGCAGATGCTTAACGGGTGTCCCTATCTGGAGGTAATTTGTTAAAGCTTGCTGAGGCATTGGTCCGAAGAAGCGAGAAAGTGTGAAATTGAATTGGCTTTTATATTCTTGTGATGCTTGCAGTCTCTGCAACTTAATATCCGAGGTATCCTAGTAGATGCCACCGCTTTCCAGTCTGTTAGATTCTCCTTGCCAGAAACTCTCAAAGTTCTAAGGTTACAGCCACTTCTTGAGTCTGAGGCAATTCTTCTCATGAACAGATTCAAAGTCACTGGAACTTATTTGTCTCAGGCTGATTATACTGCCTTGCTTTCTCCTTCACCTTCTTTTACTTTGCAAAGCCTCTCTCTTGTCCTCGACTTGATATCTGACAGGCTAATCATAGCTATCACAGGTTCTCTTCCTCAACTTGTCAAACTGGACCTTGAAGACCGTCCTGAAAAAGAGCCATTTCCTGACAGTGACTTGACTTACACTGGGCTTCAGGCTCTGGGTTATTGTCAGCAACTCACAAGCCTCTCTCTGGTTCGAACTTGTTACAACCGCAAGATATCATTCAAAAGAATAAACGATATGGGTATATTTCTTCTTTCCGAGGCTTGCAAGGGTTTAGAGTCAGTGAGGCTCGGTGGGTTCCCAAAAGTCAGCGACGCTGGTTTTGCATCGCTCCTTCACTCGTGTCGGAACTTGAAAAAGTTTGAAATACGAGGTGCCTTCCTGTTATCTGATTTGGCATTCCATGACGTCACAGGGTCTTCCTGTTCTCTTCAAGAGGTCAAACTCTCGACGTGCCCTCTCATAACCAGCGAAGCCGTGAAGAAACTGGGGTTGTGTGGCAATCTCGAGGTGCTCGACTTGGGCAGCTGCAAAAGTATATCAGATTCCTGCCTCAACTCTGTTTCAGCCCTCCGAAAGTTAACTTCTCTGAATCTCGCAGGAGCTGATGTAACCGATAGTGGCATGCTTGCACTTGGTAAGTCAGATGTTCCCATCACGCAACTGTCTCTCCGCGGCTGTAGGAGAGTCAGTGACAGAGGAATATCCCATCTGTTGAACAATGAAGGAACAATCACCAAAACATTATCAACACTTGATCTCGGTCACATGCCAGGAATCTCAGATAGAGCCATCCACACAATCACACACTGTTGCAAGGCTTTAACAGAGCTGAGTATCAGGAGTTGCTTTCACGTAACAGATTCTTCGATAGAGTCGCTGGCTACAAGGGAAAGACAAGCAGAGGGAGGAAGCAAACAATTGAGGAAGCTCAATGTCCATAACTGTGTGAGCTTAACGACTGGAGCACTGAGATGGTTAAGCAAGCCGTCTTTCGCGGGTCTGCATTGGCTCGGATTGGGACAAACACGATTCGCTGGTCGCAAAGAGACGGTTACAGCTACGATTTGTGGACATAGGCCATGGCTCACGTTGTGCTTTGATGGATGTGAGCTTGGATGCTATGATGGTTGGGAATTCCACACGCCACAACGCCACTGAAGAACTCAATTGTCTCACTTGTTCATGTATTGTATAAAATCGTTCAGAAACATGATTCAGTAGGCTGTGTTAATTTATTTAAACTTCTTAAAAATTTGATTGTAAACTATTTAAAGATAAAATAATTCCAAGAAATTTGTTATCTTTATACTCATAATGTCAAAGGTATATTCTTATATTTGTAAACTTGCAATAGTAACATGCAGAAAGAACCAAAAACCATGTGATTTGTAAAATAGTTTTTTAAGTTTTAACCAAAACAATTAGTGAAGGATATAAACGATTAAAGTGCCTATATGGCTATATATTAGCCTGAGCAGATGGCAACATACAATAAAATCTGGAGCAAAACCAAGCCAACTACTGAAGATTTGACTTGTGAAGTGTGATTGGTCAAGTGTTCACGTTGTTAGTTAGTTAACTATGAAAAACAAAATACCCACATTTTTTCTTATTTATTCACATACTTACACATTAACGACAAATGTTACCTGAATCAACATCACGTGTCGGTTTCACAAACCGAACACCCGAAAACCAGAGTCTTGTCTTCTCCTTTACATTTCTTGTGGAGTTCCTACTAAAACATTAATTTTCTGTTAGTTCGTTACAATATAGTCATCTATATATTTTTTCTAGCAATTTTCTAGTGTCCTTCAATATATACTTGGTCCACTCAGGCACTCACATCTCTTGAATATTCACCAAAAGTGAATAAAATTTTCTTATATATAGTTTGCATTCTTTGTATATTAAGTAGTCAAAAAGGTAGTAGCAGAGAGATTCAACGTAAATTGATATAAAGAACTAACCAAAATATATTCAC